GACTTCGCCCAAGAGAGGCAATTGTTGATTTTTTAGGTTTCTTAGCAAGGAGAACGGTTGTGAAAAAGTACTCTAAACATCTTTCTTCTTTTCTTTTGATTTTATGATGAATTCAAGTTTAGTTTATTCTCCCATAACTATGAGTAGCTAAATTTCTTGTCTAAGGCTTTGATGGAACCTATTGGGTGATGAACTTCTTGTTTATGTGAATACAAATTGCTAGTTTAATCTTTATTTGTTCAACTTCGTGTTCGTTGTAGTTAATTGACAGGATCCTCAATTAGCTGTGCCTATTTAGTGTGCATAACTTGGAAAAGAGTGCATATTTAGGGTTTTGTTGAACAACACCANCAGAAATTGTATGCCTCCAATTAAACTAAACCATTGGTTATGAGAATAAAACTCCCAAATCGAAATTTGGTATGAGGTATATTATTTAATATACAACAACACTTGTACGCATCTAGCCAACAAGTTATGATAAATTCTCCCCATCACAATTGGTTCAGGGTCAGGAACCAAATATTCCCATGTAGAAATATGGATGCGTTATATGATTTAATTGTGCTGTCACATTGCACAAAGATGGGTTCTCAAAGAAAGTTGGGAATTGTGTTGGTGATCCCAACATTAGGGGGAGAAAATGAGCAGCTGAAAAAAAGTAATACATGGAATGAATTATTATGAGTATACCTAGATCCTCGTACAAGAAAATGTGAATTTGAAGTTCAAGTGATAATTCATTTCCAAAATATTGTCAGACGCATTTGCTGACCCAAACTAAATGTCATATTTCAGCTACTAATGCTCCAAATAGAATAAAGTCCATGATGGACATAGTCTATGGAACTCTTGAAGCGTAATAGACTAATCGGTTCCAAAGATAAAACTCCTTGAAGAAGGAGATGAGCATATGTTCAAGATGGTCATAATAAGGAGGCAAGTGTTTTATAAGAGCACCATGACATAACACTTTATAAGACCTCATGGGAGAGGCTCAGGTACCTGAAAATAATGAGATCTCGATACGTTATGTCTTTATTGTGCGATGATGGAACCGATGTAAAATGATCGTCGACGATGTTGTTAATATAATGTAGCGCTCAATATTATTAATATTGACGAGGATCTTGAGCTCAAATCTGTCATGGAATTTGGACAGATAAATGATTGGCTAAATGAAAAATATGCAATGAAAATTGACTTCATCTGAAAAATATGAAGTTGGACGAATAGTCCCAACAGCTGAAAGTATAAAGGCTATATGGAGATATTGAAATATGATTAGTATTATATTGCAAAAGAATCCTTGATATAGATTTGTTTATTCTAACAAATATTGTCAAGGTTTTGTTGTTTATGCAAATGCAGGCATTTATTGAAGTCCGTTCTTCAAACAATCTATTTGTATGTGAGGAATTGTCATATTATCATTTCACAAGATGTGTGGCTTTTCTTTGAAGAGAAGATTCCAATAATATTGAAGACGATGCTGCTTGCATAGCTCAATTGAAAGAACGATATATTGAAGAAGACAAAGTAAAGCACATTTACCAAAGTTCTTCGTCAGAGACGATCTTCAATAGAATGATGAAATAGATGTTCAAGAAATTCCTTCAAGTGATAATTTGCGAAATAATTCACGAAGGCATTGCCGATCTCAATATTAGAGAAGTTTTTATACAAGCATGGAATTCGGCGTCTCCGAGAAATAAAGTGATATTTTCATCAGGGGGAGGCAAATACGCGCTGTACTCTTTTTCCCTTAGCTAAGGTTTTATCCCACTGGATTTTCCTGGCAAGGTTTTTAACGAGGCAGCAAATAAAGCATATTACAGATATGTGTACTCTTTTTCCTTCACTAGGATTTTTTCCCATAGGGTTTTTTCCTAGTAAGGTTTTAACGAGGCACATTATCTTTGGACATCCAAGGGGGAGTGTTATGAAATACTTGATTATGGTGGATGTCCATAACTCCTAAGGGAGTAACACCCACTACTCTTCTCCATTAACCTCCCACTACTTCTTACCATTATGGATGTAACTCCCACACCTCCATGATCTTCCCTCATGTTCTCAATAGTTAATACCATGTTTATGGAGTCCCTTTGTATTACCTATATCATCCTATAAATAGAGGGTTTGTGCATCACATTGTACACACTTGAATACATGGAAGAAATAGATTATCTCCTCTCTTTCTCTCTACATTGTTGTCTATCTTCTTGTTTTATATTATTACTTTGAGCTAAGTTTCGTAACAGAAAGGATGTAATTGAATCCCTTAATTGAAGGCACTAATAATGGGGTGAGAGCCTTTTAAGAAGCAATATATACAAGTTGTAAGAAAAACCTAGATACTTATTAAAAATTGCAAAACATAGAGAACATACGAAAATAAGTTTCTAATATAGTATAACTAGGTAAAAATTCCAGAAAAAAAAAATCATTCCATGGCCCAAACCCAAGACCCTGGTTAAGAGTAGAGGAATACTTTAGGGATTTTTTCATTCCTATACACTATTTGAAACTTTACATGTTTAGCTAAATACCCGGTATAAACAAGTTTTGTTTACAAAATATATACAATCCACCTTAAAAGGCTCCCAAATCCATTATTTGAGCCTTCATACAATTTAAATACAAATTTTATATAAATTTTATACAATAAGTCTTTTGTATCCGATTTACACATAGTAAAAATAAATTTCATACAACTAATTATATGTTCATACATTATTTCTACACCGTTAAATACAACTACAGTATCATACAACTTAAATACAAATTTTATATAAATTTTATACTTATGTCTTTTGTATCTGATTTACACATAGTAAAAAAAATTTCATACAACTAATTATATATCATACAACTTATCTACAATTTTCATACATTATTTCGACTCAGCTATATACAACTACAATATCATACAGCTTAAATATAATTTTTATACAATATTGTTCAACTTTCATACAATAGTTAAATAAAAAATATATATAAACAACAAAATACAATTTTTCTACAATTTTACTACAATTTCATAAATATAATGTATATCATGTCGTCTTCTTCTTCTTCTTCTTCTTCTTCTTCTTCTTCTTCTTCTTCTTCTTCTTCGAGTTTCAATCAGAAATTCAGCCAAAAACAAGTCTAATCTTCACCAAAACACCCTCAAAATTGAGATATAAACTCCAATTTATATTCTCAATTGTCTGCAACAACATCCAATCCAAACAAATAATGGTTTCCGAAACCCAAATTCGAATTCAAAAACTTCAAAGCTTTTTAATGGCGGCTTTCAATGGTGGAATTGCTGCTCTCTTTTTCTTTGCTTTACATTACTGAAATTAGGGATTGAGAGATAGAGAGAGACGTAGAGAGAATTTCCAATTCTTTGCAACAACACCCAATTCAAACAAATAATGTTTATTGAAAACCCAAATTCGAATTCAAAGCTTTTTAATGGTTGTCAATGGTGGAATTGTTGCTCTCTTTTCCTTTGCTCTACTTTACTGGATGGGATTGAGAGATAGATAGATAGATAGATAGATAGATAGATAGATAGATAGATAGAGAGAGAGAGAGAGAGAGAGAGAGAGAGAGAGAGAGAGAGAGAGAGAGAGAGAGAGAGAGAGAGAGAGAGAGAGAGAGAGAGAGAGAGAGAGAGAGAGAGAGAGAGAGAGAGAGAGAGAGAGAGAGAGAGAGAGAGAGAGAGAGAGAGAGAGAGAGAGAGAGAGAGAGAGAGAGAGAGAGAGAGAGAGAGAGAGAGAGAGAGAGAGAGAGAGAGAGAGAGAGAGAGAGAGAGAGAGAGAGAGAGAGAGAGAGAGAGAGAGAGAGAGAGAGAGAGAGAGAGAGAGAGAGAGAGAGAGAGAGAGAGAGAGAGANGTTTTCCAGTTATAAAATAAAAACTTCAGCTCTAGTTTTCCAGTTATAAAATAAAAATTTCAAGTTTTTGTGTTGTAACTGAAAAGTTTTTATGTTATAAAATAAAAACTTCAGCTCTAAAGCTGAAGTTTGCCAGTTATAAAATAAAAACTTCAGCTAGAGCTGAAGTTTCCTAGTTATAAAATAAAAACTTCAGCTCTAGAGCTGAAGTTTTTGTTTAGTAACCCGGAAACTTCAGCTCTAGTTATAAAATAAAAGTTTAGTAACCCGGAAACTTCAGCTATAGATAGCTGAAGTTTCTCAATTATAAAGGAAAGCTGAAGTTTTTTATAAAATGGGTACGGATCAAATAAAAAGACAAAGCGACTACAGGTTAAGAGGGGCGCCCAAATAGGGCGCAATTTTTACTAAAAATCCCAATACTTTATGATCCCACCGGCCCCTAGAGAACTAGCCGTACAAACCACAAAAAAGTAAACGCAACTATTTCTTTCCAATCATCCAAGTAATAAAACTTCCACAAATGAGGAATTTAAAGCAGCATATATAGAAAATACCCATGCAAGCTAATGGACTAAATAGTAGGCAATAGTTTACTACAAACGCTAACATAGCCAAGGATGACTTCCCACTTTCACTAGCAATCCTGTCACCAACAGAGGCCAAAGATAGACTTGCCATGTGAATTTTTCTTTCCCAGTTCCCTAGCGGCGGACTGAGAGGTAGGATCGGACATCACCACAAGTACCACCTCCAGCACGCTCTGTGGCTCCACCAATATGTCACGCGAAGGCAGAGTAGTTCAACGGTTGCTGCTGGTCCATATCATCACAGTTTGAGCCGTTGGAGATACCAGAACAAGTGGGTGTAGAGTAGCTCTGGGATTCCATTATCTGTCTATTCAGCTGCAATGCATCAGATACTGGGGTACCCTGGACGTTGGTCACATCGGGGGATCCAGACTCCACCAGGTCCTCTAGCCCTATTCAGTGCATGATGATGGCGAGACTCATGGAGATATGGCTAAAAGTATTTTGTGAATAAGTAACTTGGTTGAACCAGGGGAACTAACACACATGCTGAAACATTAGGGACCCTTACCTTGCGCCCTTTTGAGAGTTTATTCTGAGCCTCCAGCTTTGCACGATACTCTCTCCGCCTGACAGTAGCCTGGTACTGTTTTGCATTGACAAATATTGGCTCATCTTGCTGATAGTCAAGAGGAAGTGGCACTCGAGCAGATATGGGGCCTAACATTTGTGGATAAACCTGAAGCAAACTGATAGATAATTAGTATCTCACAACGCGTATGAAGAACAAACACTCGCTTAAAAAAGGACTTGATCTCAGATTTTGCAAATCATGGGCTAAAAGAAATCCACTTAGGTATATCTATATAAGTACATTTAATACTGAGACCTGGGATCAAACTTAGTCCCCTAAGCACAGATGACATTTGATATGTAAAATAGCATCAATTCTTTGAGTGCTTGTACCTACTTAGAAGTTCATAAGGATCTTGAAATTTGAAAAGCAAATGCCACATGAAAGTTACAGTCAGTCAGACTTACAGCCACAGTTTATTTTCCCATAATCAATAATCAAGGAGAACAGAGAAAAAATTTCCACTAGAGGTTTAAATCGTTCAATGCCTATGGACTATGGTCAGTGTCTATATGCACAAAAACCAGGTCAAAAAGAAGTTATTCTTAGATGGAAATCTTAATTTGCAAGTAAAACACTTACAATGAAATTACTTAGAACATTAAATGAGCAATTGCCTACTAACGAAATATTAATTGCTTATAGAGCCATCTGTACTTAAACTGGCATTGGCTCAAACAAACAATCTTCCAGGGGTTAAAAAATTTAAAATTAAGAAAAAAAGCAGTTTGATAAAGAACGAACACTGCTAGAACGAAAAAGACTCACCTTTTCTTTTAACTAAAAACTAGAAATAAATAATACTGCACGTCATCAGTACAAGTAGTATAGTTGAACATGAATGTACTTACCGTAGAGCATTATATTGTCCACAAGCAGCAAGACAGTAAGGAAGGATCAGAGTACCCAAAAGGTGCATAAGCCTAGAAATGACATTGTGAGATGTCATCACTTGATCAGAAATTACAGCATATGAAAGGAATTACGAACAACTCACAATTTGTTTGTGGTTTCCCTGGTAAGTGCAATCATGCTCGTGACTCGACAGCGTTGATTCACTTTGAGCTTCATCAGGCTTTTCAATACTTTTAGAATAGCCTGAACATGATCAAAACAGATCAACCTTAGTATGAAGTATCTAAAAGTCCAAAGCGAAGTAGTAAAAGCAGAGGCAAGAACAAATTTGAGTCTAAAAAATATCGATACTCATGAAGAGCTTGTAAACCAAATATTCCCTTCATCCTATTTTATAAGGAGTTTGAAAGGGTTTAAGATGTTAATTTAGATTAAGTATTATATAGTGGCAAAGAAAGAAACTATTACTAAAATATACTAGTAAAGTTAGTTTGATAGATAAAACATCACATCAAAGTTGTAAAAGTGAGTAGTTGAATGCTTGTGAAATTCTTTTGATTAGTAAATGCATGTGAATTCTTGAAAGTTGTAAAAGTCGCTTTAGATAATATTATTAGACGAACGGTTGAATGACAGCCATATAAATAAGGACAGAGTAAGTAGGAAATATAACCTGATCAGTTCTAAGATAGCATGGGATTACATTGACTAGATTGAATGTACTACATACATGCATAACTAAGATGTTGAAGGGAGAAGGTTAGTGACAAATTATTTCATTTCACAACTCTCTTGTTTCTTAGGTTCTTCAAATTTCTAGTTAATCCTTCATGACTAGGTGGCTACAATGGTCTAGCACCTGAAGCTTTAAGTTAAAGTCTTTTTTCCAAGACCAACACAAGCAAAAACAAGTCCAGAATATGAGTTCCATAGTTCCAATCTTCTTCAACAACTATTAATCCAAACACAGCTCACCCATATATATCATGGGTTCCAATGAAGTCCACAACCAAAAGACATAACATATTAATAATAAAGCTACATCCATGTTAAATGGATATATCATCTCCTGTCACGACCCAAACCCCGGTCGTGATGGCGCCCAACACATTGTTAAGCAAGCCCGACCATTCAACAACAAATCTCAACTTATGATAATTCAGGAATTCGAACACAGATACTAAATTACTAAACCATCTTATCAAACTACTATGAGCACGGAGTAGTATACTGAAAACCAACAAAAATACTAGAGCATAACCCAAAACAGGATCCGGTGTCACGATTACGAGCCTCTAATACAGAGTGTCATCCTATAACAAGACTTTCTAAGAAACAGAATAATGAAAGATAGGGATAGGAGGGAAGGATCAAGGCTGCGAACGCCATGCAGCTACCTCGATGCTCCCGGTGAAATGCTGCTCAGCTAGACAAGTCCTCCCTCAAACTGTGATGCACCTAAATCTGCACACAAGATGCAGGGAGTAAAGTGAGTACTCCGACTCAGTGAGTAATAAGCATAAATAATAACTGAAGATAAGAAATCACAAAAAAAACACAAGGCAACTATAACGGGCAGTACCAAGCCTTTAACAGTGAGACCGGCAAGTCAATAAAGTAATAGTACAGAAAGAACCATGACAGGTAACGGGTAAGGAATGATGCAATGATGCAATGCAATGCAAATACCGGTACACTCAGGTACCCACTGCGGCGTGCAGTCCGAGCCAACCATATATTTTACGTCGACGGCGCTCACTGGGGGTGTGTACAGACTCCGGAGGGGCTCCTACAGCCCAAGCGCAAATAAGCCATCTCGTGGCACCAACCAGGCCCTCGGCCTCAATATCACATAGTACTGCTGCGGCGTGCAGGCCGAGCCATCCATAAATCTAGAAATCACAATAAGCCCCTCGGGCACTTTTAAATCAGAAATCCACAGCCCAAGATATCATTTAAAATATCATTTGAATTTTCAAGTTTAGAAAAAGGGGCTGAGTTTGCAAAAATAGTACTTAACACCTTGAATTGAGGTTAAACAATGTGCAAAGTATGCAAATCAGTGGAATCAATCCCTGAAGGATCCAAATAACCGGCACGAAGCCCAAATACAACAGTCAAATACAAATAACGATGATTTCCAACAAATCCTAGTAGAAAAACATAGTAAAACATCACCGGGACGGACCAAGTCACAATCCCCAATAACCAACAGCCCCGCACTCGTCATAGAGCGCGTGCTTCGCCTCAATATAGCGGTACGATGTGAAATTCCGGGGTCTCAAACCCTCAGTACATCATTTACACCCATTACTCACCTCAAGCCGGCCCAAAGTCTAGCTCGCTATGCCTTTTCCTCTCGAATTGACCTCCTCGCGCGTCAAATTTGATCAAGACCACAAGGAATACATTACAATAGGCTAAGGGGATATAACCCAATCGAAAAGACTCGAAAAACATCGAAAATCACGAAGTTGGCAAAACCCGAGCCCCGGGCCCACTTCTCGAAAAATTATAAAATTCACATCATCGGATTCCTCGTCTCGCCACGAGTCTATGCATATCAAATTTATCAAAATCGGAGTTCATTTGACCTTCCAAATTCCATTTTTAACTTACAATTTCTCAAGCCCTAACTTACCCTCTTTTTTATGAATTTCCACTAATTTTCATGTTAAATCTACCATAAACTCGAATAATTAGGCCAAGGGACTTACCTCCAATCGATTCCCAGTCGAAACTTTCAAAAGATCCTCGCCCAAAGCTCTCAAGGTCGCTCAACAATGGTGGAAAATACCCCAAGCTCGCGGATGAAATATGATATTATAAAACCCCTTCTGCCTACAGCGATTTTCGCTTATGCGGTCCCGCTTACGCATATGCGGGACCGCTTCTGCGGCCATTTCCCCGCTTATGCGGTTTCTCACTTAACTTACCACTTCCGCCTTTGCGACATATTCTCCGCTTCTGCGGATTACCCAAGACCGCTTCTGCGGTTATTCACTCGCACCTGCGGACCCGCTGATGCGAAAAGGGGTCCGCTTATGCGGAACTCATCAATTCAACACAAGATCGCTTCTGCGCTTTTCCACCCGCTTCTGCAGTCCATTTCCGCAGAACCGGAAATACCAGATGACAAAAATCTCAGACCTGAAGCAACTTCCAAAAACTCTCGTTTAACCACTCGAATTCACCCCGAGGCCCCCGGGACCTCAACCAAAAGCACCAACACATCCTAACACCTCATTCAAACTTGTTTCAATCCTCAAAACACATCTAACAACGCTAAAACCATTAAATCACATCGGATTCAAGCCTAAGTTTCTTAAAAACTTCCGAATTACGCATTCGATCAAAAACCCGACCAAAACACCTCCGAATGACCTGAAATTTTGCACACATCCAAAATCACCTAACGGAACTACTGCAACTCTCGGAAATCTGTTCCGACCCTCGGATCAAAATCTCACCTATCAACCGGAATTCGCCAAAATACTAACTTCGCCAATTCAAGCATAATTCTGCACCGGACCTCCAAAATCAAATCCGATCGCACTCCTAAGTCACAAATCATCCCCCGAAGCTAACCGAATCACCGGAAATCACATCCGAGCCCTCTAACTCATTAGTCAACGTCCGGTTGACTTTTCCAACTTAAGCCTTCTTGAAAGAGACTAAGTGTCTCATTGGCTACCGAAACCAATCCGAATCAATTATAACACACCAAATACTGATAGTGAAACATGAAGAACCATAATGTGGGGGAAACGGGGCAGTACTCACGTGACGACGGGCCGGGTCGTCACATCTCCTATCAGTCCTGCCAATTTAGTAAAGAACTCTAGCAACTTTCTATTGGCTAGGGGGAATCTGTTTTTTTTTCCTTTTCCTTGTTCCATCATAAAACATCCGCAAGACTTCAAAAACGGAAAGCAGACACTCGCCCTTCTAAACCGGGTATTTGTATATTGAGCATGGCCATCATCTTTCCAAGATGAATGTTGTGTCGCAACAAAGAATTACATCGATATTCGCCACATTCAATACATGGCATGTGTTCCTCAGTATTCTACCGTACAACGGTGGTAAAATATACAAAATGTAGTTCATTTGGTCATTGTAGATAGTAGTGCCCATTCCTTTGTATCAATGAGATGATGGAAATACCAGTATTTGGCGTAAAACATTGTAACCTTATACAAGTTATTAAGATTCCAATTGATGGCTAGTACAAGACCAAAAGGACAGAGAGGTGGCACAAGTCATTTCCATAGACACGCATCCAATTTCCAGCTTTAAGATGACTAAGTTTTAAAATTTAAAAAATTGCAAAAAGTGTACTTAGCAACATTAGCATTCATCTTGCTATGCTCGGGTAGTTAAAGGGTATTTTATTCCAAAGTTATAGAGCTCGCAAGAAATATGATTACCAGTCAACATATTTCTGAAATATGAGTTATTTCTATGATAACCATTTTAATTTCAAAAACACTAAATCAAGAGTTTCTTTATACATGTCTTTATTAATTATTGATTTGTGCAATACCAGATGTTCAGAATCACTTTTGCAGTCGCTCCTTACCAGGCTAACAGAGGCGCGCAATGCATTGGAATAAAAGGATGGGGCCAATCCAATTTAATCTCAACCTACAAACCATCAATTTGACATTTCGTTCCACATTCTTTCTCGCGTTGCAAGGCTAAAGTAAGAAAAACCAAACTTTATCTGATTACAACTCAGTAAGTATGTATTCACCACAAATTCAACCACAGTACAGTAAGTATCAGCAGAACACAGAAGATCACAGGCCATCTCCATTTGTCTTAGTTTAGGCCATAGCTTCAATATTTTTGCACACTGTATATTTGCATCTTAAAAGACTTCAAATAATTAAGTCGATAACATTACCTGCTTGAAAAGGCATGTTGCTTTTCCCATAGATTTTGTTTTCTCCTTCAGTAGCAACTTCAGGGCATGATTGACCCGTTGACTGAGTAGAAGAGGAATCCTGATCTTGAAAATGAAAACCGAAATGCTCGGGATTCTGAGGACCAGGAAAACTCAACCATTGTTGCATTTGTGATTCTTTGCTAGTCCACCAACTAGGTCAAACACTGATCGATGGGGCTGTTGAGACGCTACTATGATCAGTCTTTTTGAAGCAAGTCCTGCATTCTGCTAATCATCTGTGACCTCGTTCAGAAACTCAAAAAGCCCCGAATAACTACACCTTACACATGAGAGTATGACCTAAGCAGAATAATTGAAGGCTGAACTTCTCTTACCTTTATTTCAGTTCCAGCATACGAATAAAGTTTTACTCTTGAGACTTGACAAACTAAGTAGAGTGTGTCTATTTATAACTTTGACGCAAATTATCATGTTAAACTACATTAATGTTATGTCAATAATCATATTCAACTTCCAGCAAGAAAACTGCAAATCCTTCAA